TCACTTAAAGTACAACAATAAAAATAAATAAATGGTACTCCTTTGCCATGAGACAAGAACTTTATGGTGCCCGGCTACCATTACTGAACATTTTGATGAAAGATTCTAGAGAAGAATCCTCATCAAAAGGGGGGAAATGCACAACAGAATTTCAAATTCTTATGGAATCCAGACTTTCTGGAGCCATGGGGGCTAGATAAACACCTGAAACTCTTGCCCTGAGATAATCTTTAAACTTTAAACCAAAAATATCCCTGAAGTCTTCTGAAAACCAAACAGTAGTTTAGCTAACTAGTAACAAATGTGTGCCTTGAGCATTATGGTCTTTTAAGAATTATCTATATGGGATAAAAGTGACAACAGCAACTTGAAAGATTAGATAGGAAGCTTAGGGGGCAGCGAGTTTCTCAATGGAGGAAGAACAACTCAGAAAAGGAGGGTGGGAATGGTGGCACAACTTGAAGAAAGTAATCAATGTCACCGAATTGTACATGTAGAAATGGTTGAATTGGTGTATGTTTTGCTCTGTATATTCTCAACAACAACAAAAGAACAAATGGTAGAAGGACTTAATGTAAACCAGATGCAGGGAAGGGAGGGATCTCAGCAGCTCTGAGGAGGTGGCATTTAAAAAGGGGAGCTACAGGATAATGGGTGTCAGCAGGTGAAGAGATGGGGCAGAGCATTCCAGACAGCGGGAACAGACTGCGTGAAGCCCGAGTGAAGACAGAACATGAGGAGGGAGCTCGGAGTGAGGGCAGGGGCAGGAGAGGAGGCAGGAGGGTGGCAGAGGCCTTTGTAGGTGCAGACAAGGCATTGGGCATTATCCTGAGTGCAGTGGACAGTGAGTAGGGGAGATAAAGCTGAATGGCTTATTCTGCTTTGTCTCTAGTCCTCATATGCTGAGGCTACTAAGAGAGAGATAAGAAGAGAAAGAGTATCTGCATGTTTTCTTGCAGAGAATTATAAAGTCATAGCCTTAACAGAGATATTAGAAGTCACCTCTTGAGCCCACCGCGAAGTGTCTGATTTCCAATCACAACACCTGCCCCAATGCACCCCTACATAGATGCCCAGGTCTGGCTTCCACGCACCAAGTATTAGAACATTCACCACCATCCACTACAGCCCTCCTGTCTCTGGGCAGGTTTGCAAGTTGGGAACGTAATCCTCATATCAATATGAAGCCGAAAATTGCCTCCTTGGGAATTGGGCCATCCGTAGCAAAGTGTGCATACCTTTGATCCAGTAAACACACTGCTAGGAACTCTTCCTTTGTGGAGTAGCAAATAGGGAAGCAAAGATGTAAATATGAGGGTGATTGAGCATTGCTTAATGAGAGCAATAAATTGAAAACAACCTAAATGCTCAACATGAGTGGATTAAACAAATTATGCTTTATCTACACTGGAACACAACTTGGCTGATAGGAATCATGTTGTAGAAAAAATGTTCACTGGCATGGAGATATGTTCCTGATATACTGTGAAATGAAAATGAGCCGGCTACAAACTGATGTATTACTTGCTGCGGGAACTTGGGCAAGTTGCTCCCCCTCTCTGACTCTCAGGCTGTCAAATGGGGATAACATAAACCAAAAAACAAAACAAAACCAATAAACAGTTGCCATTGACTCAGTTCTGACTCATGGTAACCCCACGTGCTGCAGAGTAGAACTGCCCCATAGGGTTTTCTTGACTATAATCTTTACAGAACCAGATAACCAGGCCTTTCGTCTGCGATGCTGCTGCATGGGTTCAAGTTGTCAAGTGCAAACTGCTTGCACCACCCAGGCACCTTGCTAGTGCTGTTGATGTTAATTGCTGTCGAGTTGATTCCAACTCATAGTGACCCCGTGTGTGTCAGAGTAGAACTGTGCTCCACAGGGTTTTCAAGGCTGTCACCTTTCGGAAGCAGATCACCAGGTACCTCTAAAAACAAAAAACCCCCAAATCCATTGCTACCGAGTTGATTGACTCATAGCGACCCTATAGGATAGAGTAGAGCTGCCCCATAGGGTTTCCAAGGAGTAGCTGGTGGATTCTAACTGCTGACCTTTTAGTTAGCAGCCAAACGCTTAACCACTGCACCACCAGGCCCCCAGTCACCTCTAGGTGGATCTGAACCGCCAACCTTTCCGTTAGTAGTGGAGTGCTTAACCATTTGCACCACTCAGGAATTCTGGGGTAATATAGTACCCGCTTTATAAGACATATGGCAAGCACTCACTAAATGGCAAATACTATGATTTACTTTAACAAGAGTACAGGACTGAATACCAAAACATTAACAAGTCTCCTGGCATAGGAATTTATGGGTGATTTTCATTTTCTTCTGTGAGCTTTTCTGTATTTTTATGTATCTTTCTCTTGTAATCAGGAACAAACTAACAAGGGTCTTATTTTTTAAGTCTATATGGCTCTAACTCCCATGGGTTAAACTGTGGTGTTTGTCAGAAGGGTGACCTGAGAGGGCGCCCTAACTTGGCTCCAGGAGGTGGTGGGCTCCTCGCAGGCCCTGCCCCCTGTTTGCGTGGCCAGGGCCAGGCTGGATACATGCACACACACACCATGCTTTATTCTCGTTTAGGTCACACACACACACGCACACACATGCACACACACACAGGTACACACCATGCTTTATTCAAGTTTTGGTCACAAACACACACACACAGCATTCCACCCAGGCTCCTGTGATCTGGATGCCTAGGACTGTGTGTGCAGAAGCTAGGGGTGGTGGTTGGGATTGATCCCTCTGGGCCCCATTTTTCTCTGCCTTAAAATGGCAGGAGGTGGAACTGAGTTCCTGGGATGACTCAAGGTCCAGACCCCTCTATCCTTACCTGACTCAGTCCCCCACTTTGTAGACCCCTACCTTCTGGAGCTGTGAGGGGCTCAGGCAGGCCATGGGGACAACGCAGGGCCCACGGATGGCTCTGGATGGTTCTGGGTGTTGTGTGCCCAATTGCTGGAAAGGAGAAAGTTCAGGAGGGGAAGCTGGATGAAGCCTGGAAGGCCCAGGAGGACTTAAACCTTCACTATTCAGAGAAAACCCAATCCCATCACCCGTGTATCGCAAACACACACGGACCTCCCTGGGATCTCTCTAGGCTGAGCCCCAGCCCTGTCACTCTCTCTTACTTCTCTGTCCCTGGATGAAGCAGTGACCTTTGCCTTTGCTGCAGCTTCATACCCTGGGCCCTTCCCCCACAGGTAATCCAGGACGAGCCCTCTCCAACCTCTGCGGTTTTTAATGGCTCCCTCCAAGCTTTTTTCCAGAAACCACTCCTGGCTACTTACCAGGTGCCCAGAAATTGTGTTCTGAGAGCGTTGGAGCAGTGAAGCTGGGCTGGCAGGGGTACACCTGAGTCTCAATCCCAGAGCCACCACTGCCTGCGACTTTGAGGAGCCTCACCTCAAAGGAGGAACCAACATGTAGGTGGGGAGACAGGGTGGGTCTAAGGAGACTAGGCCCTGAGTGGGTCTCAGACTAGCTAGCGACAGAAAAGGTCTTAAACGACAAGTTATGTCCGTTAAAAATTTTGTCCAGAAGAATGGTGTGAATGCTGTTTGCTTCTGCCTAATCTGTCCCAGAAGCTGGCCTTCAGATCAGCCAATTATTAACTAAAATCCTGGGCATGCGTGTTAAGAGACCAGGTCAACAGGCAGATGACCTCATCCCATAAGTGTTGCCTAGAAACCAAAATCACAGGACACACGTCCTCGACTTGTGACTGGGCCCATTTCTAAAGCGGAGAAGTCTGTCAGCCACTTCTGTGCCAGAATTCTACTGTGATCCCTTTTTGAACATACATGAAGTTAATGGATATGTATGACTTCCCCTTTCCCATGTGGTATAAAAGGGCACTCCCAGCCCTTTGTTCAGAGAGAGAGTGCTTCCGGGGAGGATCCCCCCTCCTCTCCCTACTTGCCTTAAGTAATAAACTATGCCTTGCTTTAATTCCGCTTGACTCTTAGTTATTCTTAACTAGAGTACTAGTGGAGAACCCATTGTGTTCCGTAACAGCTCGTCATTCCAAAGGTGAGGAGGTCCTCCAGAGAACTGTCCAGGCCCCTCCCAGCTCTGATATCCTGAAACTCTCAGCCCTGGGAGGATTAGAGAGGAATTTACAGATCAGTCTGCAGCTCAGAGGACAGGGTAGAAGACGAGGGGTATCTCACTCAGAAAGAGGAAGGGGCTAGAGAGTGGGGGCCTGGGACTTCAGAATGAGTGAGAAACCCGTGGCTCTTGCTCCCCACCCCCAGGCCCAAGATGTTTCGTGTCTCAAGTGGGCTGGCACAGGCGAGCATGGAGGGCAGAACAGCTCAAACATGCCCACCCTCCCCCAGCCAGTCCTGCTGGGCAGCTGATAAGGCCACTGTCTGGCTGCTGCAGCTTCTGGAAAACAGCCACTGGCCTTCCACGAAATGATGGCAAAGGGACAGACTGTTTTGGGAATGACTTGGCCCCAAATCAAGTCACGTGTTCTCTGGGCCACAGCACTGGGAGTTGCTGCTTTGTCCAGGCTGTCCAGGCTTCCGGATGGCTGGGAGGGGTGCCTTCCCCCCACTCTTCCTGGCCTCTGTGGATGGTGAAGAGTCTCAGTCGGGTTAGGCTAGGTGAGGGGGGCAGGCTGAAGAGGAATCATGATGGAAATACAGTTGAGACAAGGCTCACATGAGTCAGGGTGCATTCCCGGCTGTCACACTCCCTTTTGATGAAATTACCCAACAAAGAGACAAACACCTGTCACATGCCTGGCTACAGTGAGTGTCCCCTCAGGCTGGGCCAGCCAGGCATAGAGGGCAACTCCCCTCAGAATGCCCTTCCCTACTCAGAGAAAGGCTCACAGAAGAGGGTTAGTAAGGCATTACCGTGAAACCTTGAGCACATCTGGGCCTTACTTTCCCCATCTGTAATTTGGGATAACAGAGGTACCTCCTATGAGGGTTGAATACAACCAGTGTTTTACTGTAGATGAAAAGCTTGGCAAAGCGCCTAGTACAGCGCCTACTAATGTTAATTGTTAACTGAATGATATCAGGAAGTCTTCCAGGTGGTGGAAAATGAGGACATTTTGATTTTCTGAGCTTTCCCAAGTTTTCAAAATTGCTGTTGTAATCAGAGAAAGGACTACCACTGTGTTTTAAGTGGAGTGCAGTACCCTCAGCTTAAGGAGAGGGATATGGGAGGCATGTATCTGCTTCCCACTATTTGTTCATTCTGCTCAGGCTTTGGGAAGTAGGTGAGCAGTGATTTCCACATTGCTGTTTTTTCCAAAGGCTAACCAGCTCCAGATCCAACCCTTGTGCTCTGGGCATTGGGTGACTCCAAGCCTGAGGGGGTGGTGGGGTGAGGTGGTGGGGACTGGTGGGGAGGTTAAGAGACCAAACAGAATGGGAAGACCTCCACTGAGGAGACACAAGACGGGGTTTCAAGGGGGGCCACAGCTCAGCTGCTCAGCCTCACTATCAGAAGTCCCACGAAAGAGAAAGAAGAGGGAGGGAGTTTCAGCTCAGCCCTGAGGCCACTTGCGGTCAGAGTCCCCAGGGAGAGAGGAAGAACAGACTCTAGTCTGTTCCAGAGGATGTACCCAAGACCAACTCAGGTTTCATCACTAAGACCAAGGTCAAGATCAGACACAATGCCTTTCCTCCTCACCCAAAACTCCTGCCCCAGGGCCCTCATGTCAGTCTAGCGCAAGCCTCCCTGGTCCAGAAGGAAGATATGAGAGCGTTTACTGGGTACTAGAAGCCAGGTCCTCTGCTAAAAACTCTACCAACCTGTATAACTGGCACCACCAATGTGATTTACATATGAGGAAAATGAGACCCCACATCAAATAAATGGCAGAGCCGGGATCTGAAGGCAGCTCTCTGAACCTCCCTGAGCTTCTGTCCTTGACCCCACCGCCTTCAGTAGGCCCCCAAAGGGGCCGAAAGCCCAGTCAAACCCTCCCACTGGGACTCTCAGACCTACATCTGCAGAGCTGCGGGGACTTGCTGTTGGAATTGCAAAGGACCTATGAGAGCACTAAGTGGAATGCCTATTGTAGATGGAGATACTGAGGAAACGGGAGGGAAGAGATCTACTCAGCTTTATACAGGGGATGACTGAGCTGGGATAGGAACCCCGGACAGCTGGATCCCATTTCAGTGCCCTCTTCTCCCTGCACCCACCCATCAAAGCTCCTCAGAGCACAAACCACAGGCAACTGGAAAGGCTGACAACGTGCTGGCTGTGGGATTCCCAGCCAGGGCCTTGTGTCTGGCACACAACAGACACTCCGTCCAGCACAAACCTCTAGTGCCTGCCTCCAAGGAGTTACAGTTTAGCAGAGATGAGCACAGTTAACTATCCTGTAGGTGTCCAATAAATGGTCACTCAACAAACTAACTGACAAGGCCCGGCAGGCCTCAGAGAGGCGATGGACGGGTCCCTCCATGACATGGAGACTTCCAAAGGTTACTTTCTGTTATAGGTTCATTTGATATTTGAACCATGTCTACAAGTTCAGACCCAAAAGTAATGGATTGCTTCATGGTCGTCAGAGGCTAGTGTGCATTATTTCTCAGGGTTACATCTGATGACACAACACAGAGAACACAAATGGATAGACAGACAGACATACTCATTCAGACAAGAGAAAAGTAAAATCTGCCTTAGCGTCCAAGTGATTGCTCTAAGGCAGGGACCCTTCTAAGGCGGGGACCCGAGTGACTGATCTAAAGCAAGGTGGCTTCCCATCACCAGGCACTGACTGTGCTGTGTGTGTGCCAGGTGCCCTGGACAGAAGCTGGCTTGAAACAAAAAACTGGGGAGGTTGCCCTCCCAGCAGTGACCTCCCCACCCAACCCTTCCTCTAAGAGGCTGTTCTGAAGGACTGGGTGGTGACAGGGTTGATGTAAGCAGCTGAGGCTAGTGGTGGCACTGGGCAAACCATGATACATGAGGTGGGAAAACAGAGTCCAGGTGAAGTAGCTCCTCTTAGCTCCTTAACACTGTGTGTGGAGGGCAGGGTGGGTGCATCAGGGAAGGGGAAGATGGAGCACCATCACCTGGGGGTTAGCCAACCTGATTTTACTCCCTTGTTGGCAGTTCCAGAAACATTCTCTTTGGCCAACAGCCACGAAAATGAGTGTCTGCCAAGACACATGGAGAAGGAAGAAAACAAGACACCAAGAAAATTAAAAAAAAAAAAAAAAAGAAAAAACAAAACAAAAAACCCCTGCCCCAGGCAAGGAGAGGAACAAACAGAACTAGACCAAGGTCACACCAGATTCGGAACACATCCTGCGCCCCACACCCCAGGGAAAGGAAATAAAATTCAATGTCTTGCTTCTTTCCTCAAGGGAAACTGCCACCCCACCCTGAGACTCCAACTCACTGGCCTTTAATGTCCTTTTTTTTTTTTTCATTTTAATACCCAAACCATCCATTGTCAAAGCTTTAAAAAAGAAACAAAATTTGTTTTACTTAAAAAAAAAAAAATTGAAATTGCCACAAAAACTAATGAGGCAGGCCCCAGGCCTGGCCTCTCCACCTGGCAGCCTGCTCTCCCATGGGCTGAGCTGCCAGAGCCCAGCCTGGCACCAGTGGAGGGGACCATCCCACAGCTGGTTCACCCAGGACGCCTCTGCTCAAATGTGGGTGGGCACTAAATGCCAACTGCATCACTAAATAAAAAGGGCAAAGCAGAGACACAGCCCACCCTTCCATAAGCACCCTCCATCTGAGCCAAACTTCCTTGGGAATGTGTAAGTTATCGGGACGGAGGAGGTGGGATGTAGAGAAAAATAAATACCAAGAGCTATGTAGGTGTCCCTGGACCTCTGGCGTCGGCTCAGCCACGGGGCAGAAATGGCCTCCAGTGAGGAGGTCCTGATTGTCCAAATACAGCACAATCC